GTGAAACCCCCACCCCGGCTTGGGCCCCGGGGATCCCCGCGTGACAACACTGGTCCCTGTACAATGATGTGATGTGTGTCAGCTGGAAATCGGGTCCAGAGTGAGCCATTCATTTTCTCGAGTTGCCTGGGGCCATGTACCGGCGCTTCACACCACCAATACTTGGCCCATACATCGGCCGCGGAAAGCAATAGAGTAGAAGCGCTTCTACTCGGATGAACCGACGCGCCAATCTATGGGCCCATTTGTTCATCATTGTCGCGTCTTGTTTACCGCCGCGACTCTCGGAAGTACTGGTGGTTTAAGCAATAGGAAGGACGCACCCCAGCCCACTTATGCACTGACCTGGTCCATGTGGATCAAACCCGCTCCAATTTCCTTTGCTATCTTAACTCCATCTCCTGTTGCAAAGGGTCCATTTGTTGTGGCAAGATTCCTGATCACAGGGGGAACATACTCCTTTAGCAGCCCTTCCCTGTCTGCCGCGTACCCTCCTGTTGCAAGCACAACTGCATCCGCAAATATTCTCATTTCCTCCCGGATACTCTGCACGAAAAAAAAAAGAAAAAGAATATTGTACATCCGTTAAAATTGGAACGATACAGAGAAGATTAGCATGACCCGTGCATGTTTTTTTAGGACAAGTATTGATCATTTGGTACAGTTTCTTTTCAAAGACACTGGTTTTTCTACAGGGGAGGGGCTCCACCCGAGGGCAGCGGGATTGGAGACCTTGCGACCCCTGAATTTGCAGCTTGCTGGTATTGTGTTTCTGCCTTGGGCACTGGGCCCTAATAAAACGACTGTTTTCTGTAATTAAAAAAAAAAAGAAAAAAGAAGAAAGTGTGTTCGTGACATCAGACATTGGAATGACGATTTCATTTTGATAGGGGTAGCGCCGAGACGCACGCAAGAACTGGGACAGTTGGCCTACGCAGAGGAAACCTTGAGAGCAGCCATCCCTTGGACACTATGGACATTGCGGAATTCAGCAACCAGAGGAGAGAAAATCACGCCTCCGATGGTCCGGGGCGGAAACAGAAGTACTTGATCAAACAGGCAATCCACACTGACTGGACTTACAAAGTGCAAAACAAGGGCTTTACAGCCAATTTGAAAGCAACAAAGCGATTTGTAGCCAGATGGCAGACTTTTTCACGCCTGCTGACGGTTCAACAGCAGCCTCTTTTTTTTTTTTTTTTTTTTTTTTTTCCACAACAGCCTCTATAAGGATTTCGGATGCAGATTGGTATGGATGCGCGGTGACTCTCAACCTGCTTCACCATCATTGGCTTAGTTTACTTGTGGACTCTGTGAGTCTGTTGGAAATCAGCCTTGCTCTTATAAACTTTGTTTCTGCTGTTTTGTCAATAGGACGTTTGCATTGTGTACAATTAGGATTCTGTTATTCCGATAAAATTCTCAGTGGGGGGAGGGAAGAAGAAGAAGAAGAAGAAGAAGGAAAAGAAAGAGAGAAAGAAAAAAAAGAAAAAAAAAAAAAAGACGTTGACAAACAAAGCAGGGCGAAGAGTAAAACGAAGAGGAGAGAAGACTCGGGACTATGGTCTTTCGCCCTGGAAGACATAGCACACCATACTTGTGACTGAACCAGACCAGAAAGACAGCTTGTGTACATTCAGATTTAGGGTGCTTTGTGCTTGGGCCAAGACGGTAGCATCAACCCGCAGGCTACAGAAAGAAGAACAGGAATAGGAATAAACAAATGCACGAGATCCAGTTTGTGACAGGTATGCATGAATGAGATAATACTCTATCTTTCTTTTTTCTTTAATTAAAAAAAGAATGCACTACTAACTTAAACCCCACCAGTACACCACCCATCGGCCCGCAGAGGTGTCAGCATGAAACCCGCACCACTTTGGAGGCGGCCGATTTTTTTTTTCCAACAGCGCCCCACGCAGCATAGCCCCTCCGAGTTTTGCTTGTGGCGACAAAGAAACTTTGTGCGAGCCTGCGGCCGTGTACTTGCGGTTTAAACCCCACCAGTTCGTTTCCCAGCCAGAAAATAAAATATGCGGCTTCAATGCAGCCGCAACTTTTGGGGCTCGGCCTCTGTAGCAAAATGGCTGGTGGCGCCAGCCAAAAGGAGGCCCTCACCGGTTCGTTTTTTTGGGGGCGCGTAAGGCGTTTCCATCCCTGGAGAAAAGTGTCTCGTTAAACCACCAGCAGTCGTGCCCGTTAACAAGGCACAGTTTTAGGAAACGTACGGGCCACTACAGAAGCGCCCCCCAAATTCATCCGAGTAGAAATGTTTCTAACTTTCTACTCTATTTTTCTCCGCTTCCGATAGCTGATCCAAGTACTGGTCGTTTAAGTACCGGTAGTGTCAACCTTGAAAAAAAAAAAAGTCAATCCCCCCCCACCCACCCCCCCCCCCCCCCCCCCCCAAACCCCCCCCCCCCCCCCCCCCCCCCCCCCCCCCCCCGGTAGTACCGCCTGCCCTCAGACCTGTCCCTGCCTGGGCCAAAGAGCTGGCTGAGGAGGATCCTCCAAGATAGGGGATGGTCTGCGTCCCATAAATTAGTTGCTGACTGTAGATAGGTACCTGTTGTGGGTCCTGAAACCAACCTNACCTGTTGTGGGTCCTGAAACCAACCTCTACAACCCCCTGGCCCAAAAAAAAAAAGAAAAAAAAAAGGAATGCCATCTACGAAAACTTTTGGCAGTGAGGTCGGAGGCAGTGCTTTTTTTATGTACCGGCCTGACAGGGACGACTTTGATTCATTTGTGTGCCAAAACTTTTAATGTCACCTATGTAGGGTCCCACGGTACGGTACAGTACTACGATAAAGAGAAAAAAAGGGAAAAGAAAAAAAGGGTCCCACGGTACTGGTGCTTTTAGGTCCCATCATCCCCCTCCTCCTTTCCCCCCCCCTCCCCCTTCTCCCGTACGCACACAGTTTTCCATGCAATCACAGAACGCTGGCATTGGAGATCAGTCCCAAACTTCTAGTCGATTTAGCAGATTCTGCAAGCAACAGTTGTGAAAAAAGTTACACATGAGTACGTGCGAACATACAAGAAGTCCAAGCCCAACTCATTAGGAATTGAACCTATGACGTGCCGCCAAAGAGATGGATCACATGACTAGCATCTTCACCCGAATAGAACGCCCGGTTATTAATGCTGTATCCGGACGGAAAAGTGTCACCAACTACGGCTATAATGACCGGGCGTTCTATTCGGGTGAAGGCGGTAGCCTGATGCAAAAAAACGCACATGAGCAGCCTAATGCGAACCTAATGCGAACTTCGATTCGACTCGGATACTAGATTCGGACACAAGTAGTCGGATAGGAGTGTGGCCGATCCAGTGTGACACTGAGTGGCAGCGGCCTGACAGGTTCATTACAAATTTCTCGGCTGAGAAAACAGAAGAAAGGCAAAAAAAAAAAAGAAACAGAGACCTGCCACCCGAAATCATAGCAGAGTGCTTCCCAGCCATCAGATCACAAATGAGTTTGGCCGAAATGGCGTCACACCGTTAAGTTTTCTAAACTCAACAACGGTAGGTGGGACCAGACCCCAGGAGCATGGTCCCATTAGCGGTGGGATAGGAGTTTGGCCGATCCAGTGTGACACTGAGTGGCAGCGGCCTGACAGGTTCATTACAAATTTCTGGGCTGAGAAAACAAGAGAAAAGCAAAACAAAAAAAAAGGAAACAGAGACCTGCCACCGGAAATCACGGCAGAGTGCTTCCCAGCCATCAGATCACAGATGATCTGATCGTGGTGGTTGCAACAACAGTGAACAAAGTAACTGCCACATTTCTGGAATAAACTCGACTTCTGTCAGCAGTGATTATGACGCCCTCCATAAACTCAACTTCCACAATAATGTTTTCCAGTTCAGGAAGAAACCACAGTAAGGTTATCCTTTGCGACATCCGTTAAAATTGGAGCGATACAGGGCATCGCCACACCACTCTCGAAATGTGCAAAATGAGAATGAACTTCCTGCTAGAACATGGCCAGATGCACCCGCCACATTTTTGTCTTTTCCACATTTCCAGAGTGGTGTGGCGAGGCCCACAGAGAATGAAGATTAGCATGGCCCCTGCGCTTTCAAGGATGGCACGCATAAATTGAGAAATGGTCTTAAAAAAAAAAAAAAAAAAAACAGCAACGATTCTTTTGGGCCCAAAGAGATCCAAAAAGAACGTTTTCACGTAAAACGCTCTGAGCAAAAAGGTTGAGGCTTCGTTAAAGCACCCCTCAGTTAGCCATGGTTGGGAAAATAGACCTGTACTCACATCCCCGGAGTGCCCTTTCTGCTCCACCGTAACATTCACTCCAACGACGTGTTGAGCGCGATTCACAATAAGAGATGTGGCCTGGGCATTCCTCAAGATTTGCACCTGCAAGTGTGTGTGAAGGAGAACATGACAGAACAGCAGGCCGTAAGATGCACGTCCAAGGACACATCAACCACCAAGTACTACCATCTTCCCCCCAACGCACCACACCCTCATTGTCCCTGTACCGGACCGGCAAGATAGCCTGTACGCATTCATTATCAGGGTGCGTTCTACTCAGGGGAAGACAGCAGTAAAATACACCCACCCCCGCACACCTGAAACCCTCTTCTCCCC